ACACACAGACACACACAGAGAGTGTGTTTACATTTACACTAGTGTCCCTGATGTGAGTCATATCCTGTTTTTGATTAGATTTGAATGTCAGGTCTTGGGAGTATTCTCATATCATGACATCAGGTTTCCGGTTACTGTCCGTGTGTCTTTGACCCATCCATATCAGAATCTGCTTCATTGGCCAGGTACTTGTACACATACAAGGAATTGGAATCAGTGTACTTACACATAAATCCAAGAACAATTGTCAGGAAGATAGAAATACACATACAGCTAAAAACAAGGATGATAGGTAAACAAATCATGGAATTAATATTGAAAAATAGTGAAAAATATCCCACCGACTGTCACTTCTACAGGCATACAGAGAGTGTTAACTCAATAGAGGACAACATTATAGTGAATTATGGCTGCATTATCTTATTAAGCTGAAGACATGAGGCATCTTAAAACACCTATCTCCTTCTCTCTTTATATATATGGAAATAAATATGGACAATTTTAAAGACCTGAGAACATAAAATGAAAATCTGAGACAACAGAATTAGTCTGAATGAGTATGAATATTGATCAAAGTAAATATGCAACAAACATTAAATAAGAACATTATTGACCGACTTGAGAGGGAATAAAATGACGGTTTTATTTACTGGTGTGGATGAAAACAAAACAGAGAAATTATCCTAAACTTTCTAAAAGATACTGGGGGTCGGAGACTGATCCGATTTTTCATTTAACCTCTTCCATTCCTCAGAGTTGTTGACGCCCTCGGCTTACATTTGCTGTTTTTCAGAGGCTGTAGTGGGCAGTTTTGTCTAGAAGGGGGCTAAATAACACTCCGAAGTTAGGCTACATTTTGGTGAGGGAGAAACTTGCGAGACCATTTTCAAAGGGATCCCATGACCTCTAACTTCAAGATGTCTGAATGAAAATGGGTTCTATGAGTACCTTTCATCCCTACAGTGGCCATTTCACTGCAGTGAGACCATTTTTTGAAACTGGACCTCACTGTATAAAAATGACCTATTGTAACCTCTAGAATAATCACAGCTTTATGAAACTGCACAACCACAAACTAGAGGCCAAGAGCATTCAAAAAGATGGATAGCTTTCCTAGATATATTGACAATAGGCGGATTTCTGAGCAATTTCCAGAACAGAAGTGCTCATCATCTAATCGCTAACAATTACAATTCTTACAGAAATCTCTACATGTCAAAAGTTTTCAAAATAATACCATGCGTTTCTTATGGTGTTCCTCAAGGTCTTGGTGTCTTAATGTGGTATTCTTGAGGGATATGTGACCAAATAGTGACCAATTTAACAAATAGCATCAACCCAAAAATGGCTGCAGCAACTAATTAACCATAATGTTCCTTATACACTCTAAACTTTCAATGTTTGAATAGGTGCCTAAACAAAACACAAACTTTATTACAGATTTATGACTAGAAAAACTGCATTTCAAATAAGGTCCCTAGCTTTCAGAAGACATATTCCACTTCTGAGTGGCTTATACAGTTGACCTGCTATCCCAATGAAGATCTCCTGTCACCCCTTATAAAAACAAACATGGGTCTACAGTAGGGCGGGGTACATTCTATTCTCAGACATTCATAGTTTTCAACAGCTTGCCTTATTATGTATATTGTACATATTTAATATATTGTATATCAGTTTTATGAAACCAAGCGTTGTCAGATTTCTGTTAACACAATGTGATGCTAACAAGCACTTAAATAAGTTACTTATGAGATAGATTAAATAATAAATGGTTGAAATGAATGATCCTACACTTCCCATGATGCAACATGAGAGGGTCATAAAATGGACACTCCCTGCCTAAAAAACATCCATATCTTTCAAACTCCACATCCCAAGTGTGTAACACAGACTCTCTCTTTTCGCACTCTCCAAGCCAATTCTGACATGACCCTGATGACATCAGGATGACATTATTCACTCACATACATCAGCTTTTTCGAAGGGATGGCAAAAAGCTGCTGACTCTAGTGGGCTGCACATATGGTGTGTCAGTGAGGAAGCAATGTGTTAGTAATTAATCTGAAGACAATATTGTGGAGGGAAAACCTGCAATATGATACACATTTACAAATGTATCTCATTAGTGTGCAGATGGAGGGACAGCTTGGCATAATGTGTGTGTGTGTGTG